TTCCAGAGGTCAGCAGGAACAATCTGCCTCTTAAGACTTGAAATTCCTCAACCCCACCCCTGTGCCAAATCTTCCTAACTGTTAATATCCCATGTTTCTGTCAACCAACTTCCAGAAGAATTCTACTACTCATTTCTGAGGTACCATCCCTGAAGTGAAAAGCAGTACAGGTTGTCTTGCTTTGATCTTATCTTTGAAGAACATTGGAGATAAAATTCTCCAAATTTGTTCTCATCTTCATTATGCTGAGGAAAAGGATGCAAGTTTGATGGTTGACCTTTTTAACTCACAGTGTTAATCATACAATTTAAAAATGAGATAAACCCCTGCAGCAAAAAATGTGTAAGCACCTACCAATTACAGCCCCCTTCCAAATCAGCAGACTGTTTCAAAGAGCAGCCATGTCATTTAAGCCCTTCAATCCCTAACTCTAACCTTAATACTGCCTTCATTCCTTACACAGGCCTAGAAGGTTTTTTTAACCTCTCATGTTGGTGTTTCCGATAGCAACTTCCATTAGTGCACTTTCAATTTAAAACTGCAAGGCTTTTTGGACTAGACACTGTACAAATCCAACCTTCAATATACACACAGCAACAAACACACATCAAATTTCTGACCACATCACAGACCTGCTTTTGGATCTGGGTAGGCTGCAGAGCGCAGCTTCACTCCAGTTTTACTTATGACATTCTCAATACAGTCTTCAGAGGGAAAAAATAACAGTAATGCTAATATTTCTGTCATTTTGTGTTACCTGAGCTAATAAGTATTGAACTATGATGTTTTGTATTTAATTCCTTTTACTATGCTTTCTCCTCCCTAATTCTTGGGAATCTAAAAGAAAAAAAAATCAAAGGGCACATGCTGCAGTCGAGACAGCCGCAATATACAATCACCATACGATATCAGAAGGCTTTAAGCATTTGCTCATACAAACAAACCCCTTACCGCTCCAAGCTTCCATCCACACAGAAAAATTACATCAGAATGCTGCAAGCATCTTGCTCATTAGCCCAGCCTTTTATTCCCTCATGCTGATGCAGTGCACCTGTGTGCCCTCTGCTCCCTTCGGTGGTTGCTCAGTGCCCCTGGGCACTCCATGGCTCATTGCTGTCAGTGCTGCTCACCTGCTGCTCACAGCTGCACTCACTGGGGATGAGGCTGGGCCAGCCCCACTCCCAGTTACCACAAACTGTGCACGTACTGGCACAGTCATTCCACAGAACAAAGAGGTTTGCTGAGGGTCAGAGAAAGCCTTGGCTTCATCCTTCAAAACCATCGATAATGGAACTGGGGGAGTTTAGTGAAGCTGTAAGCTATTATTTGTATTAGCAAAAGGTATATTACCCTTCTTGAAGATAGAATCATGGTAAGTAATGCTGCGATTATTTTATGTATGTGTGTGTGTTTATATATTTCTCTTTCTTTAAAACTACAAAAAAGGAGCTGATTAGTAATTCATCTAGCAGAGATCATTTCACTGATCTCCATCAGTGAAACAACTTTTTTTACGTGTTCACTTCTCTGAAGCAGTATAACTCACTCTTCTTCCTAACAATAATCATATAACAGAAAATTCTCAGCAAACATAGATTTGCACCAGAAATGAGACAATAACTAAATGCTCACCTACCTAAACCAAAAGAATTAAAGAAACAGAGAAGGCAGTGGATGATGACTTTTAAGGCAGACATTTATTTTGCAGTATTCCCTTATGCGCTGTGAATAGATTTGGAGAGGGCATCAACATCTGTGTGAAGCTAGAAAAAAAAAGTCAAGTCAATATCCCTGAGATACAGGGAAACCAACAATAAAAGCATACTCTTCTTTACAGTGCATTGTTTATTCTCAGTGAAATGATCCCTTTACATAGAGAAGTCCATCACTTTTGGCGATGTCAAGGAATATATTAAAAAAACACAGTGTGATTGCAAGAGAGCCAAAGAACACCGTATTTACAGTTACATTTCATTATGATGCCTATAGCCTGAAGAGTGTGAAAGAGCTGGTGCTGTGAGTTTCTTGTGACCTACAGTGGTCCAAGGAAACACACTCTTCTCCATAGTTCCTAACCCCTCCCCCTCTCTGCCCCAAAATACAACAATGACCCATCTGTGCACATACAAGACAGCAATTCCTAATATTTAAACATGGATTAATCTGCCAACGTAGATGTATCAGGGACCGAACATAATGAATGTCACAGTGCTTAGTCTTTCTTTTCACTAAAACTGTCCTGAACAGTAATGAGGAACAAAAAAGCCAACAGAAAGAACAAACCACTGTGGATCACAGATGATTTAATAAATAACATCACTAACTTCTGTTTCTATCTGAAAACATTTTCACATTTTAGCCTTCTTTCAGATTCAAGAAAGAAAATATTTCTCCTGAAATTGCATCTAAGAGTTGAAAATTTCTAACAAAAATCTTTAATTTTATGGCATTCATAAAGCTTATCTATGCTCTGAATCGTTATCTATTCTTCAACATACTTTCACGGCTGCAATTACTTCACTCTGGACTTCATTAGAACAGCATCATTACAATTTATGACCAATAACTAGGAAAATAAGCTAAATATAAATCAATTAAATGTAAATCAATCATCCCTAATTAAATAATTTGATAGGCTGCAAAATGTGGATCTTCACCTAAACGACATGTAACTTTTCTCTTGTAACTGCTGAATCTGATGGCAATTTATTACATGCCTGTGTCACTTGACAGGCTAGCATGCAAAAATAACTGAGCTAGCTCTAAATTAAAGTGGTCCTGGTACCAGAATTCATATAGAATTATACAGATTTTTACATTAATATGCTACCTCACCAGAATTAATAGTTAGCATTTTGTCCTCTTTGTTCTGCTTTGGATTGATGTAGGACCGCAAAAATCAGTGGCTATCTTTCCGCTGACAGGTTGGGAGATGAACTACATCCCCTAAACCGCACTGTGTGAAATTACTATTCTCTACACTGTGAGAATACTTGTTCTTCTTCACCACTATCTGAAATGCTTCCATTTCTTCTCCTAGGTAGAGACAGACTTTTTCCTAGGGAAGAGTTTAGCTGTATTCGTTCAGGTAAACCGAGAGGCTTAAAACAAAGTCAGAGAAGCAATGTTTGATAAGAGACTGCAAGCAGCAAGAATGCTGGTGACACAGATGTATCATTTATAAGTATGAAGAGGAAACTTGAAACTTTATAGCATATGAGATCTTCCCACGACAAAGTATTGAGTAAAAAATAATAAATTGCCATTGGAACTACCTACTGGTATTGTAAGGAATGAGGCTGAAACTGCAAGTTAATCTGGTCTGCTCTACAAAGCATCTAGTAAATGACAGAACTGCAAAGACCAGCAGAGAAACAATAATAATACTGACTTTTGGGAACCTGTATGCAGTTAAGATGTAAGAGAGATAATTGTAAAACAGGATGAAATATTCCATAAGCAGCTGGGGGTGGTCTCACGATCACTGAAGAGATGGTTCATTGGTGCACACGGTGCTGTTGGGTTAAATGGTTGATCATCTTAGAAGTCTTTTCCAACTTCAATGATTCTGTGTGTAAGTTGTGGTACAGAAAGGTTGGTACATACAGCATTTTGGCGCTCCACAGCTGTACTCTGAAGTGCCAGAACAACCTTGAGTATCTCTTCACTGAATGGCACCCAAAACACAGCACTTAAGACATAACCGTGCTACGCATCTCAGTCCCCTCACATGCAAATCTAATGACAATGATCTCAACAGTTTCAGGAAATCAAGGACAGAAAGAGCTAGGTATGGAGTGCAGCAAAATGTAAGATATTTTATGAAACTCAATAAATTTCTGAAGTATAATTTGACACAGAAACATGTATTTTATTGAAAAGCATTTCTTTAGTAATTGCTGTAAGGCTTTCAAGATCTCAGTGAAGGTAGATTTTTTATTAAAAAAATTATATACATTTCCACCAAAACGTGACCATAGTTTTCTCTCGTCTTCCAGGGAAGCCGGGACAGAACATGATCCCAACCGAGGGCTTCGGATGGATCTGTTGCACAGGTAAGCTCTGCCAGAGGTTTCGGCCTACGAGCCGGTCCCTGTTACCGACTGCTGCACAGGTGGGACAGGACGGGAGTGTGAGCAAGAGGTTCCCCGGCGAGGAGCGGAAACCCGGCTCCCCGGGCTGCAGGATGCGGCGAGGCGGGGAATGGCAATGCTCGGTGGCGGGCTTCTCCTTCACCACCCCGCTCCCTCCTTTCACACAGCCGTCTTAGAGCGAAGCCCCCGGAGGTCTCCCCAAGGGTGTGTGAGAGCAAGCAGCGCCTGGGAGGGGTGTGAAGGGGAACGGGCCGCCGGGTCCGAACCTGCCGCCGCACCAACGCCAGCCGGCGGTTTCGGGGAGTCCGAAGGGCCACCCCACAGACGCTTCACCTCAGCGCCCCGGCTCCTCTCCCGCACATTCCTCTCCTCAATGTTGCCCTGCGTCGCTCCCTCCCTGCCGGCGTCCCCCTCCCCCGCTTGTCCCCAGTGTCGCCCCCCTGCCCGTCCCCCACGCGTCCCCGCTCCGCGCCCCCGCCCTCGCTCCGCGGGGCGCTGCGGCCGCCTATGCGCATGCTCGGGGCAAGGGGGCCCGCGCGGAGCGGAGCGGGCGGGGGGCGGCGGTGACCCGGTGAGGGGACACCCAGCCCTGTCCCGGCTCGCTCCCGCCGCGCCTTCTGCGTCTCCCGAGCGCCTTCGGGAGGGCCGCTCTCCGGCGCCGCGGGGGCCGGCGGTGCCCGCGGAGCGCCCGGCGTGCCGCCGCCGAGGCGGAGGGCGGTGCTGTGGGCGGCCGGGGGAGCCCCGCGATTGGCCTCCGCCCGGCGGCTGGCGTGTCAGTCGGACTCCAGGGGTGGCCCTGGGAGCCGCTCGCCCAGCCCTCTGACGGGATGAAGCCTTTAGGGGGATGCGGAGCTCTTTGCATTTTGATTAAAGCCCCTCATCTCCCCTCAGTCTGAAGGCAGGGCACCGGGGAGGACGGGTCGGAGGGGCCTGTGCGAGGCCGGGCAGAGCGGGAGAGGGGCGAGAGAGAAAACCTTCTCTCCGTTTATCACGTATGGCTCTATAGGAGAAGTCATCTCTGGGAATATAGTGGAAAGGACGGAGCAGGTATAAACTGAAGGCGCCCGCGTTTAATTCACACTTGTGGGTGCCCAGCATGGAGATGCAGAGATGGTCCACAAGGTGGAAAACGAGAAGGTGGCCCTGGGACTCGGCTGTAACCGTGCTCATCACCTTCGCTTTCCTTCTTCGGGCTGCAGAGGTCAGAGGAGGTAAGAAAGCAAAGGGGAGCCGGGAGTCCAGCCGCCTCTCTCCCCTCCTCGGGGAAAGGACCCAGGGCACGGCTGAGGCCGCGTTTCAGAGGAAACCTGTCAGAGCGACTCCCGGTGCTGGGGAGGCGAGAGCGCTCTTGCAGCCGGCCCGGGCGCGGAGACCCGCGGGGAGCCCCCGGCAGCGCGGGCTGGGAAGTCTCTCCCAGGTGCCGCGGAGGAACGGCTCTCAGTCAGCCTAAAAATTTGGATGTGTTTTTAATGAGGTAAAGGAGATGTACTGGCAGGGTGGGAAAATGAAAGAAATACTTGTTGCACAGAGAGACTTATCGTCTTTCAGCACTGGACTCTTGTTTTGTGAAGTGTTCGTCCAACTTTGTTTTGTTGAGCTGCTGAAGTTCACCAGATTGTGACTGAAATTGACCGACAAGTATCTGCCTTCTCCTCGGAGGGACGAGGAAAGAGAAAGTTGGGGGTGGAGGCTCTCTACTCTCTTTCTTCGTTTTCCTTGCTTTTATTTTTTCTTTTGCAACGGGTTTTAGTAGTCAAAAAGTTTTCTAGGGAGCAAGCGGAGGAGAAAATACACTGGCAGGGGCCCTTTGCCAGCCGTTGCGGAGGGCAGCTCCCGGGGCGGCGGCGCTCCGCAGGTGGTGCGAGCGGTGCCGAGCCCGGAGATGCCTGGGGGGGCTCGGGGGGGCTCGGCCCGAGGATCGCTGGGCTCCCTGCGGGCGGTGTCAGCGCTGGGGCACCGTCCCCAGCCGCCTCCCAACCCTGTAGCCTGCCCGGGGTATCGAGTGGTCCCTTAGGTGTCCGTGGACCTGGTGGGCAGGGTGCGGCCCGCGAGGGACTTGCAGGGTGAACATGAGCCAGGCAGCAGCGCAGCAGCCTCAGCAGAAAGGAATCGCCGCCCCCTCCCCCGCACCGCCCCTCGCCTTCTGCGCACTTCTCCCGTCCGCACCGCTCTCCCTGGGCTCCTCGCACCGCCGCCAGCCCAGCTGGGTTTTCTGGGCTGTGCTCGCAGCTCATCGAGCTGCAGTGTGGAGTCTCCGGTGGCGGGAGAGTTCTCCTCTCCTACCGGGGGTTAAAACGCTGCCTCTTCCTCCTTTTCTTCCTTCCTCCCACCGGAGCCCGCAGGCGCATCTGGAGGCCAGTCTGGCTGGGACTGAAGTTTTTATTTTTCTGTGAATCTGACATCAATGAAGGGGCTTAACTCTCCGAAATGAAAGGTTTACTTTTTTATGTATTTATTATTTTAACGAGGTATTTCACGATCTGAATCCAGAATCAACAGGCGTCGTAGAGAGAGATCAGTTTCCATTCAAGCCTTTATACCTGGGCACAACTTTGACGGTGTCAGATCGATCAGGGCTCCTGCCCCCTGCTGGCCCCGTTTCTGACAGGGACTGGAGGGGTCAGATTTCATCCCTCTTGCAATTCCACGGACTCCCTGGAGTTATACCAGGGTGAATTAACCTCGCAGAGCTTCAAGGATTCGGCTTCTCGTTACCATGTGGAAACTAAATTTCTTCAAGAAGAATACCGTCCTCAAGGGCATGATCGATTTCTTATGCCACTTTTCACAGCAGAACTGACTAAATTAAGTGGGGTTTATGTAGCCCATGTTTACATAATGGGTTGGATGGAAATGACAATTTAAAAGAAAATCTAAACGCAAACACAGGAAAAATCATCAGAACTTACACTGAAATCAGCAGAACTGATACTTACTGGACTGTATTCAGCAACATTAGGCAGACTAATTTGGTTGTGGTAACTTTATTCAAAACTAAAAGGCTATATTGATAGTCTTCTAGTTTTCTGGATAAAGGACATTTCAGAAATATAGCACTACAGGCTTCTTATTCTTTGTAGAAGCATTCATAAAAGAACTTAGTTCTTGACCTTTTCTGAGATACAGTGTGCTATTTGCTTAGGAACTACAGGGAGCTGTGTGTTCAGGGCTTGATCTGTTATTGAAGTCAGTCAGAGTTTTTCCATTGACTACAGAGGGACTAGAATTTGACCTAATTTCTCTAAGAGTGTACAAGGGACTTATTTCTGAATCATCTCTTATGCATTCTAATCTTATTTAAAGTAGTTAAAAGTTAACATAGGACATAATGATTCCTATTTGAAAATTGGACAGTGAAAATACCAAGGAATTAAATAAAATAGCATAAATGGCAGGTAAACAATATGACTAAATGAAAATGCTGGATAAAATATGAATGCTGGGCAAAATATGAGTTACTCTTTTAAATCTTCTGTTCTTCAATGTTCTTTTCATAAACCATCTCTATGAAAAGAAAATTACATGGTATATTCATATGAAGTGTTAATCATGTAGCAGTGACTTTTTAAAGACAACAGAAGCCATTCCATATAGACAAACCTCAACAGATTCCTAAAAACGTTTACTTTTTTTGAAGTTTCTTTATTTAACAAAAAAAAAAAACCAAAAAAAAACCAAAAAAAAACCCACAAAAAAACCCCAAAACCATAGAAAAGTATGAGGTGCCTTTCATACTTGTAAGAAATGGTGTGCAAAGAAGTGTTTGGGCTCTTGAGTTATTTCTTCTTTATACAGAACAAGTTACAGAAGTGAGAATCAGCTGCATGGGAAAAGCAGTGACTCATACTTGGTCAGCTCAGTGCCCACCAGCTCTTAAGTAGCTCTTTTCAGAAAATGTTTTTGCTTTATGACTTGGCTAAAGTAAACAAAATTCAGTATTTTTAAAGACATGCTTTGATTTCCTTTCCCCTTCCTCACCTTTAATACTAAAGCTGTTGGTAATGTCTTTGGAATGAATAAACTCATTTAGTCAAAGTGGCATGGCTTCAACACTATAAATTTTTGTAAGGGCTTGACATCAATGCACTATTGTGATGCTGATTTAAATTTCATGGGCAAGAAATGAAAAATCAGCCTTTTTATTATTTATAAGCTTTTCCAAGCAAATGGAAATCTAGCTCTTAATCTGTGCAAAAAAAAAAAAAAAAAAAAAAGATTTAAGAAGCCTTACTGAAAATGAGGCTATGAACCTATATATAGAAAACTTTGGACCTTCTGTGTAAGCAATGAGCAGATTTGTTTCTAAAATAAATAGATACTTCTTGCTGTCATCTTAGGAAATATAAAGGTTCCTTGTGCTTCCCACACACAGCCTTGGAAAGTTGTGGGAGTTCTAGGTGCAGAAGGAATGCAAAACTGGGCCAGTTAGTGATGGTAAAAGGAGAATTTTCTTAGTGGATGCACACTTAACACTGCTATTTATTTCTATTTGCTTAGTAAGGAAGATATGGATCTGTTTCTTGAATGAAAACTCTTGAATGTGTCCAGCTAGTCTAAACCTGTACAAAATGGTGCTTCGAACTAGAAAAGTATCAATTTCTTCTCAGAACTATTTGTGATGTAAAGTACTTTTGATTTTAACTGATCAATTAACTTTTAAGATTAAAAAATAGTTTTGTGTGATAATTTGTGTGTGTTTCTTAGATTGCTATTCTCAAAGTTAACAAAAATGAATTAATCAAAGGGTAATTTCACTAGGTGCAGCTAGTGGTCCTAGCTGAAGTTTTTCTGAGTCCCAAGGATCAGCAGGTGAAATGGTCCAATCTTCCCAGAACAGTGCAAGAGGCACCTGCATGTGTATGTCTGTTTTGCTATGTGATTTTGATTTCTTAATTGTTTCTAAGGTAAAATAATTATTTCAACTTCAGCTGCAGACATCAGGCACAGAAAAAATGACTGGTATGTGTTGTTAATTCTCTAGAATGTGTATCTTTGCATTGAATTCAGGACACCTCGCATGGATCCAAAAAATGCTGCAGGAAACTGTCTCTTTCCTACCTCTGCAGGAAAGAAGTTTTTCAACACCAGCTTGGTGTATATCTTAACAACTTTAACTGTATATAGATACACAAATACTCTGTGGGTTTGGCTTGAAGTAATCTCTTCCCTAGAGCCTATAATTGAAATGACAATAAATTAAAATAAAAAAAAAAAAAAAAAAAAAAAAAAAAAAAAAAAAAAAGTATAAAAACTTTCCTAGTGCTATCTTTTATTCTGATTACTAAAAAAACCCCATTAAAACACCCACCCCCAAAGCTCCCAGTTGTTTGTAAAATTGGTTTCTGCAGCAGATACAAAATGTGGGAAAAAAGTTGTCATACTTATTTTTACAACGGCCATGCCCAAAGTTACTTATCTCCCCCAAAGAGAATCCTTAATTCTGACACAGTTGCAGCATACTAAAGGAGCCATGACATAACTGCTGAGGTTGTACCTAAAACACACTGGAGCATTTATGTCTTTCCCGGATTTGTTTTGTACAGTGATGAACAGTAGGGTTTCCATCTGCCAGCAAGATTAAGTTGCTTTTCTTTTCTCTGTTGAGCGTTCTGCTTCTTTTCAGAAGAAATCCTCCTAGCATTAGTTAATTTATCATTGTTCTGAGTATTTGTTGATAATAGGGGGGAATAAATTAAGCAGAGCTTGGGAGAAATCTTTAATGTTCTAAGAATGTGAAGTCTCATGCAGTGATAGAGATTTGCCCTCTGGATGGACACAATAGAGAACAGTGGCTTAAAAGGAATTAGGTTAACACACATGCCTGTTGCAAGGGCTTATAACTGTTCTACTCAGTATTAAATACCAGGTTTACAGACTATAAATGTAAGGATTAATTGTTGACCCGGTTATTACAATAGTAGTAGGAATCTGGCGGAACTTAAATTCTTTTTAGCACATTAGCACACATAAGCGACTGTAAAAACCTTTGTGAATTTCAGGTCTGGGACTTCACTGCAAGTCTGAGTGTTAATGTACACAGTGTGTGAAATAGAAGGTATTTGGCAGAGCTCATTTTATGGAACCAGAGTGTTTGCTGCAAACGAAATTGAAAGATGTATTATAAAAGATGAATAAAAAAAACCAGCTTAGATCCTGATCCTGCTATAAAAAATGTTACTGGCAGGTAAGCTTTCTCTATGATAGAAATTAA